TGCAAGAAACTAGAGTGGGTAAAAACAATCACAGATCGGCCTCAAAGAGCTTTCAGAACGTTGGATTCACGCCTTGTTTTGGTGACATGCTTCCTGGATTGTGGTACGGCAACAAATCCACCAAAACGCCTTGTGGAGGCACCCTGGTTGCTGGGGGATCTGCTTATATCCAGGCTTTCGATCCTTGCCACGATGTTTCTGGCCTGTACACTTCCCTGTTTCAAACCAAAAGGGTTGTTGCTGCATGGATCCAAGCCACTCCTAAGAAGAAAGCTCTTGTTGTTTCGGTTTATGCGACAACAAGTGCTTCCCAAGACCACAGAATTCATGAGGCCAATAATAAATTGTTTGACGACATCTTTTTGTTTCTTGCACAGTTTGGGAGGATCCCTATCATCCTTGCGGGTGATCTCCAAGCTCCACCAATGAGCTATCCGGCAATCTCCAATGCCATCTCATTCCAGTCATGGCATGACCCGGTTACTCGTGTCGATGAACAAGGAGAACTCATTCGGCCCTTAACGTTCAGTAATGATGGAACTTTTGCCGGTGTGGGGGAAGGATGTACCTCTATTGATGCTGTCCTTGTTAATGACATCGCATTTGCTGCCCTTCGTGAAGCCGAAGTCCTTGAGATTTGTGGGAAACAACACAGACCGATCAAACTCGTTTTCGAGTGGGCAACCCTGAACCAAACTGGGTTTCATGTAACTAAGGCCGCTCCCCTGGTGCTCGATGACTGCACCTTTGACTTGAATTCCCCACCCCCTCTTGTTTGGGAGGACAAATGGAAAGACCGTTTCGATACTGCCCGTGACTCTGACGCCAAATGGGATGTTGTGAACTCCTTCCTGCAGGATACCCTCCTTGCCAAAGGGGCTCGCTGGGGAACAGGTAAACAAGTGCGGGGGGCTGAACCAGTGTTTGTCTCCAAAACCATCGCGCCCAAACAACTCTCAACGCACTGTGCTGCAAACCGGCATTCGGTCCAGATTGCAAAGTTGTGTGGCAGACTTAATGAACTTTTTGTCCGCCTCTCGAGAGATGAAGGTACGGCTCAAGATGCCTTTATCACACAGAGAACAGCAGACAAAGCATGCCGGCAGCTTCACCAACTGTCGGCTCCCATTTCTTGGCCTTGTCACACTCTGCCGACTCTCACATGTGTTTACTTTGCAAAGAGATGGGCTGAAGCTGCGCTTAAAACATTTGAAACCCAGCTTCGTGCCAAACGAATCAAAAGCTGGAAAAACAAGATCCATGACTCATCTAAGCAGGGCTGTGCCTATATTTTCCATCATTTAAAAAATAAGCAGTTGGGTGAACCCACGAATTTGGTTGTTGATGACAAGAACAACATCCTTTTCCAGCCTGATGAAGCCCTTAAGTTCTTGAACCAAGAATGGGATCAGGTTTACAGTGCCAATCTGCTTAGTCATCATCCGTTGAAAATGTTGGAAACGGTTTGGCCGTACATTCAAGACAAACAAATTCCTGCTGATCTTCCATGTGTGTCCGGCAGTGATTTGTATGCTACCATTCAGCAACGGAAGTCTTGCGTCGCACCGGGGCTTGATGGATGGCGCACCCCTGAACTCCAGAGCTTGACACCGTGTGAGCTCCAGCCGGTCGCCAACTTCTTTGAGCTTCTTGAAACCTCGGCGCTTCCATTGCCGAAAGCTCTTGCGTGTGCAAAACAGGTGATCCTGAACAAGCCCGGACCCTCCACTGCACTTAATAAAAGACTGATCACGATACTCCCTGCCATCCTTTTGGCCTACACCGGAGCTAGGTTTAGACAGCTGCAACTGTGGCAGCAAACCGTCATGCCCCCAGGAATTATTCTAGGTGGTATCAAAGGTCGCTTTATGTCTGATCTTTACAATCAAATCAGATTAGACATCGATGATGCTAAACACCAGGGAGATGCGCTTGTTGGCATCAAACTTGACAAAGCCAAGGCATTCGACAGGGTTGTCCCACAATATGTTGCTGCGTTGTTTATCGCTTTCGGCATTCCCAAAGGAGTCACCACGGTCTTTGTTAAAATGTATGATGGTCTTCATAGACATTTATCATATCGCTCATGGATGTCTCCTTCCGCCACAACGGCGTCTAACGGAGTATGCCAAGGTTGTTCATTGTCTCTGTTAGCCATCAATGTCTACAACAAGGTGCGGTGCCATCTTTTAGATCACCTACCCCAAATTTTTGCTCGAGCTTACATCGATGACTCTTATTTGTGGTGTAGATTACAACATGTCGCTATCCTTTCAAAGGCTGTTGAGCTGACCCGTGTGTGGGACCTTTTGAGTGGACAGAAACTTAATGAGGGGAAGTCCTCTATGTGGGGCACCAACTCCTCGGCTCGTCAGGCCGTTCGCTCTCAGTTCCCCGAATTCCCGATTGTGCTTGAGCTTGATGTTCTTGGAACCAAGGTGTACACCTCTGAAAGGCCCTCTTTTGGGTTCTCGGATGCCAAACTTCGTAAAATACTGCAGGACACGGAAAATATTGCAGCCCTTCCCGTTCCTAAGTCAATTCGAAGTTTTCTCATTGGTGCCAAGATCATTCCGCAATTCACTTTTGGGGCCCACATCACTAAAATTCCTAAAAAAGCTATCAAAGCTATTCAGAACGCTATTGCCAAGGCCCTGTGGGCCGGGCAGCCTATGTGGCGGTCAAAACAGTTATTGCAGTGCATCCTTTCACAGCCTCACCGAACGGAGCCCATCTTTGCGGGAGCCTATTTAACCATCTTGGAGGTCTCAAGACTGTGCTTCAGCTCCTCGGAAGCCATTTGCCAAATCCGCCGAACGTGGCAGTCTAACTGCCAACATAGTTTGGCAGCTTGCCTTCATGCTGCATTTGAAACCTTAGGGATTCAGGTTGATGATGATCTGTGCATTTCCTTTTTGAACTCACCTCCTGCTCCCTTTTTTCGGCTCTCACCCAAAGATTTGAAAAAGGCGTTGCAGAACATTGTTCGACAGGCCTGCTACAGCTCAATTGATCCAAAATCCCGTAAGGACTTTTGCAAAGTGCAAGGCATTTTTGACTTTCAACAAACGGCTCGACTTCTTCGGTCCCCCAATTTGAAAAACAAGCTTTCGACCGATCATGTGCTTCGTCTCGAAAATGTGTTAGTTGGGTGTACCTTAACTAACGACCGCCTCGCTGCCTCAGGATGGGTCACATCAGCCCAGTGTCGCTTCTGTGCGAAAGAGAAGGAATCCCTGGCACACCTCATTGAGTGCCCCAATGTGAGAGAGAAGATTGGAGATCCGGTGTGGCATGAATTTGGTTCCAACTTTGCAATGCTGGAGCATTACGTTCACCCCAATTTTGTGGCCAGAAGACGGCTGCAATTTTCTGACGTTGATTCAGTTGACATTGCCCCGAATTTCTGCCCTGACCATACTGAACGAGTGTGGACTGACGGCTCTGTTGTCCACGCAGACAAGTTTTGGATCACGAACGCCGCCTACGCTATCCTTGACGAGCATCGGAACATTCGACACCAAGGAGTAGTGTTTCATTGGGCAGTTTCCGCGTACATCGCTGAATTTTGGGCGATAATCATTGCCTGTGCCAGCGCCGCTTTTCCCACAACGATTTTCTGCGACTGTAAAAGCGTGGTTGATCAAGCCCAGAAGATTTTCGCAAATGAAAGCCCTGGACGTGATTGGACTTGCCATTCTTGGTGGTGCTTCCTACAACGGGTTGTTGCTCTCCGTCGACAACAATGTGACACACCTTTCAAAATTGTCTGGATCCCAGCTCACTGCTTTGAGGGCATACCAGTTGAATATTTGACTCCAGAGCTCGCAGCCAGTCGACAAACCACTCTTGAGCATATCCTGCATAACAGATTGGTCGATGCAGCGGCAAAGAGCCTTGCCAACAGAACGGCTGTCGTTGTATCCGAAGTTCAAGCGGAAGTCACAGTTGCGTTGCAGAAACACCAACGTTGGCTCATTGATCTCCATGAGATTTTGCCAACACATCAACCGGACAGGCTGGTTGAACCGAAGTGCGACCAACCTGCCGAGGAAGTTAGTGTCGCTTCTTGTCAACGGAGATTTCCATCGTGGCTCTGGAGCTCCCCGAGAAGTTTGTACACCTGGGCGCCCAAAATTCCCAACCATTACCCTCCCCCCCCCGAGGTGGAGCGGGGAAGCACAAGATTGGCATGAGACGATTTCCTTCTTGCGCCAACTCAGGTGGATGGTCGATGATAGTCAGTCATTCTCCTTCAACGAACTTGCGGTCATTTTTGACTTTTCTGGGTTCAGACTCGTTAAAGACAGAGACCTGACTACATATCACGACATCTACAGGACGGTGCGGGATATTCTGCAATACTTGAATCATGATGACAAAGCTCAGGCACATCCTGGCATTTTCAATACCACCAAGCCCCGTTGTTGTGGCCGAGTCCTTCCGCAGGGCTGCATCGAAGGGGCCATTCCCTTTGTTTCCGACGCTGGACGTGTACAGATTGCACGGCTCTTCACACAAGGTGCAGGGCGATCCTTAGCATCTTGGAAGATCCCCCTGTCTCCGTGACTGGTTCATTTTTGTGGGGTCATTTGTTGTGCATAGACCGGAGTGTCCTGCACAATGCGGACACCGTTTCACGGTGAGCGTCCGCATCGAGAGATAGTTACTAGTAGTAATGCCCTTGTTACTAGGTTCGATGCAATTGTTACTAGTAGCTTTTTGTTGCTGTCTGCATGGACTCGGCTCGTCTCGGTTCCAAGTGCAACGGTTGTCCCCATTGACGCACCTGTTTGCAAGCCGATTCTCCCAAAGCTACAAACCCTGTGATGTTCGTTAAAAAGAACATCATGCAGTCATCTCGGGTGGTTGTGATCTCTCCGCATACCAGAAAGTGTCTCTACCTGCCTCAAGATTCGTCCACAAGACTCTTTCGTAGATGGGTCGGTAGCTAGCTCCTTAGCTGGGTAACATGTCAAGCATGGTAGCATGCCGGGCACAGTGCTTGCTCACGAGCTCATCCGTGAGTGTGGGATAGACCGGCAAGCACGGCCCTGCAGGTGCCTGTGCTCGACCGGCTTCGTGAAAAAAGACTTCTGATGTCTGGGAGCATTTCTTCAAGTCATAAGCAAACTCTTCTCAGAAGCAAAAGGACTAAGGACTTCTCGGGGCTAAGTAGTACTTAGTCAGACGCGAAGGCGGGATGCATCCATGAACCACTGTCGCAATTCTGCAGAATGGAAAATATGTGCCCTTTGATTGCCAACCCAACTGTAATCCAAAGCTTATTTCTGCCTTCCGCAGTCCTCCGTCATGTTCCAGACTATCCCTATCCATCCATCACCCTCGCTGTGAGCTCTTCAGCTCCACCCTTAGAGACCAGTGGAGCCTTCCTCAACCAGCGGCCTCGCACACGGATCGCTTTCGCGCCACCACGGCATCCTGCTCACCAGTTGCTCCACAACGTTCTGGCGGACGCGTGGAGGCCTAGGGGGCCTAGTCTAACTCTGCAGGAGGATGCAGGAGGCACATGTCTCGTCCAGGCTTCGTTTTCAAGTGTCAACATTTTCACCGGACTAAAATGGGGAGGGGCTGCCGGATCATGTGCTGGGCACGTCTTTACCATCAAGCTAAGTGTGAGTGAGCATGTCCTACCACAGCGTTGCTAGTCTAGTGGATGCTACCAGTACAAGTGAGAGACAAACGCAGAGTACCATTTCTTTGATACCTGTCCCACTTCATGTCCCAATTTCAGCATTAGCCCTGTGGACAGGTTGATGCAACGTACTTTGTCACAAGCAGTCCGCGGCCAGGCCTATTTTTTTCCAGCAGAAATGGATCTTGTCCCATTGGAAGGCCGCCAGGTGAGGCATCATGAAGTCAAAAATGCAAGGTGATGCACAACCTGTGAACCTCAATGAGCTCAAACGCTTTCATTGATGGGATTGGGGTTGATAATCTGACTGGCGTGGACTCTGGGTCTTTGGAGACATCAACTATCGACATGCTTGGTGCCCGGGCATCTTGTTGGCCAAGGCCATCTGCACCTGGCAGATTCGTTCCAGCAAAAAGGATGTCAGTCGTCGCACCACGTTCAACGCGCGAAGAGCTCCGCTATTCGTTGCCTTGTGTTGTCTAAGTTATCAGAGGAAAGGCGCTCCAAAATGTTCAGCCACCGGGAGATTCTCCTTTCACTCCAAGGGATTAGCTACAAACAACCAGGTCAACTCACTTGGCTCACGATTAAGTGCCTACTCTGGAGGTTCGATACAGTCCCATTTCCAGACTTTCACCACCCCAACAAGCTTGTAGGCTTGTAGTGAATGTTGAGCGCTCATCCTTCGAGCCGCCCGCTGCGTCGCCTGAGGGGTATGGACCTCCTCGCAACCTTTGGCATTGATACTCTTGTCAATGCCTTCAACGATGAGAGCTCCACCTGGCTAGGCAACGGGTGATCAAGATGATCTAAATCTCCCAATCTCCCATCCACTCATGGCTTCTTTAGGTACAGACAGCCAAAATGCACAAACAACAAAAATTTGATAAGCTCTACGTACTCTATAATTGGAGCCAATCGGCTCACCTGTATGACCCACGGGTGAAAGCTCTTGAGAGATGAGGAAACATCCGAAAGATCTGAACCAAGCTGCAGTAGCTCATCATAAGCTCATTCTTGTGGTGCAGGTAAGAGGTTTCACATGGTATCGCCTCGTGCTGGGCGAAAATCAAAACCACAGCTTTCACAACAAGAACCCGTGGCATGTCAGACTTTGTTCGACGCGACCTTCTCCCTGGAGACCATCTAAGGGCCCGTGTGGTGCCCGGAACAACTCTCAGGTGTCAAACAAGGAGCAATGGTCGGGCCACTTTCAAGGCTTTCCTCAGCTGCACGAGCTCAAATGCGAAAGCCTAGGAGGGAAGAAGCGTAAAACTCTGGCAGCCAGGTCGGTTGTATTGCTTTTTGCGGAATGCAGCCATACACGTACAAGCACAAGCACAACAGCCACAGCCACCAAAGAAACAGCTGAAGCGGTAGTAATCCCGCAGTTTTGGGGGATGATAACCTCTCTGGACATCCTCCAATCCCAAGGTGGGCAGTCCCGATGTCGAGACCCATGAAGAAGCATATTGGCAGCCATCGATGGAACTTACAATGGACGTGTCTTTCATGTTCTTTTTTCATGCCCCGTAGAGCACTTTTGCAGGCGGGGCAAGCTGATGTTCGGACAGCTAGAAGTGGATAGTAGGCATTGCAAGCTCTGCACCTTAAGTTAAGCTTTGTTGTTCTGTGCATTTTAACACTGCGTTGAATTGTGAAAGACCGTGACCTTCAGAGATCT